GGTGGGTAAGACCCCGGGGTTGGCCAGCTGGGTGCCCACAGTTAATGGAGGTCCGTGGAGACAGTTTGAGGGCCAGAAAGCCATCAGTGGGGGTCACAGGCAGCAGCCTCGTGGGGGGCGCGTGCACACACAGAAGCTCACAGGGGCCCGTGGGCGTCCGCGGGGAGGACCCACACACCTGCAGACACTTGCGTGTTGTGGGGGTGACAGGCAAAGTGGAACCAGGGAGGAGGGCAGATCCGGATTCAAGCCCTGATGCTGACACTTAGTGCATTCGCTTACGAGCCATTATTGAGCACCAACGGTGTGCCAGACGCTGCGGGGACACCAGTGGGCCGACACATACCCAAGACTGCCTGCCGTCACAGGGCTCGGCGTCCAGGGGGGCGGATGGGTGGGCGACTAGGTATCCACGCATCAAGTTTGACGTGCGCCCCGATCCCTGCGAGATCTGACTACAAGCGGCCTCCGGTTGGGCAGGTCTGGGTGGGGCCCTGGGACTCTGCATTTCTAAAAAAAAAAAAAAAAAATTTTTTTTTTTTTTAATTTATTTTTGAGAGCGAGCGAGAGAGACAGAGCGTGAGCGGGGGAGAGGCAGAGAGAGAAGGAGACACAGAATCGGAATCAGGCTGCTGGCTCACAGCTGTCAGCACAGAGCCCACCGTGGGGCTGGAACTCGGGAACCGCGAGGTCATGACCTGAGCCCAAGTTGGGCGCTTGGCCCCCCGAGCCCCCCCCCCCCAGGCGCCCCCTCCCCCTTTCTGTATTTCTAAGGGCTCCCAAGTGAGGCTGATGCTACAGGTCTGAGGAGTGGCAAACGGGCTAAATCGGACCCTTTGGGAGTGTGGGGTGGGGAGGGGAGCAGGGGAGCAGGGGTGCGGGGAAAGGGTAGGGGCTACTAAGGTGAAAGGAGGTGGGAGCCCTCCAGGGCTGTGGGCGGAGGCGGGGGGAGGGGGGCGGGACCTGACTCCGGTGCTCACGGGCGCCCTCCGGTGGCCGCTGCGGGGATGACGGCTGGGGGCGAGGGCGGGAGCCCGAGAACCGGGGTTGCGGGGGGACCGCGCTGGTCCGCGCGGTAGATGAGGCGGGCGCCCCGGGAGCGGACTGGGAAGGGAAGGGGTGAGAATTCTGGATAACTGTGAAGGCAGGGCCCACGGGGCTTGCCGGCGTTGGGCGTGAGGGTGAGGGAATGAGGCTGGGGGCGGGGGAAGATCCGCAGGCGGGGCCTGAGGCATCAGCGGAGGCAGGGATGACGGAGAGGGGGGGAGGGAGGGAGGAGCGGGGGGAGCACCGCCTGGCAGTCAGCAGATCCACCTGATCTGTACGATCGGCACCGTTCCGGTGAAACCCCCCGCCAGGTTTTATGTTTTCTCTGTTGTTTGCAACTTACCAGCTGATCCTAAAATTTATACCGAAGTGCCCGTGGGGGTGGGGCGGGGAGCGTAGCCCCGACGCCTGGGCCTGAAGGAGGGCCGGGTGGGAGTTTTCGGGAAGGAAACTGGACCGTGCCTCAGAGCGGTACGGTGCGGGGCAGACAGGAGGGCCTCCGGGCCAGCGGAGGAGGTGGAGAAGGCTTGAGGGATGTCGCCGTCGGCCTCAGTCTTCCCGTCTGTACAATGGGAGGGTGCGCCAAGAGGTGGCCGGATGGTCGGGGTTCCAGGGGAGAGGCCCTGCCCCAGCGTGAGCCCTCCCGGATGGGGGCTGACGCTCTATTGCTCTCTGACCGTCCCTTCTGCTCCCCAAGGGCACGAGTGTCTGTCCTCGGGGCTGCTGGCAGGGGCGCCTCGAGTTTCATGGAGAGGAGCAGATGGTCTGGGGGGGGCCGGGGGGGTCGTGCCGAGGCCTCCATAACCCCGGGTCAGGGGGTAAACTGAGGCCACGCGCAGCGGGTGGGCCCCCGAGGAGCCCGGGCTTCCCAGAAAGGGCATGTGGGTTTCAGTTCCGCATTATAATCCAAATAACTAATGTGGGCCGAACAGGTTTCAGTCTCAGCTCCGTGCTTCCATTTGGGCCCACGCACCTCAGTCTCCCCATCTGCATAAGGGGCACGTTAACGGCACCCACCTCTTGGGTTGCGTTGTGCTTGGTTTCAATGAGTCCGCTTCGGTTTTTGCAATGCCTGGCGAGGAGCAGGTGCTTGGCGTTTGCCACCTGTATTTTTTTCTTTTAATTAAAAAAAATTTTTTTTAACGTTTATGCATTTTTGAAAGAGAGAGGCAGAGCGGGGGCGGGGGAGGGGCAGAGAGAGAGAGGGAGACACAGAATCCGAAGCGGGCTCCAGGCTCCGAGCTGCCGGCAGAGAGCCCGATGTGGGGCTCGAACTCATGAACCAGGAGATCATGACCTGAGCTGAAACCGAGAGCCAGACACTGAAACGACTGAGCCACCCAGGCACTCCTGCTGCCTTTATTATGTATTGAGCTCCCACTGTATGCCGGGCCCTGCCCTGGGTGGTGGGGACACATAGCAGCCAAGACCCTGTCCTGCCCTCTCAGGAGGCTCACAGTCCAGTGAGGAAGACGGACAGCTGGTAGGGTGATCAGGGCACTGATGGGGGACACACAGGCCCCTAGGAGCCTGGAGGAAGCCCATTTGGGGTGATCTGGGAAGGCTTCCTGGAAGAGGCGGCTGAGACCCGAAAAACAAGTTTACCAGGCTACTGGGAGCAGGAAGGTGAACCAGGCAGAGGGAACAGCGTGTGCAGATGTCCAGGGGTGGAGACGGAAAGGTGGGGAGAAGCTGGGATGTCATTTTGAGGATACTGGGGAGCCATAGAAGGGTCTAGCGCAGAAGTGTTCAGCTGGGGGGTGATTTTGCCTCCCAGGGAACACTGGACAACGTCCGGGGACATCTGTGGTTGTCACACTGCAGGGGGACCCTGGCATCAAGTGGGTGGGAGCCAGCCTGCTGCTCGACACCCCACGGTGCCCAGGACAGCCCCCCCCCACCCCGCCCCGAGAGAACAGTGGCGCATGAATGCCATGGGTGCCAAGGAGAAGAGGCCCTGGTGAGATCTGCATTCTAGAAAGATTCCTTTGCTACCTTGAGGGGCATACTGAAGGGGCAGAGGCGGGACTGGAGGCGGGAGCTGGGTTACAGAGCACTCAGGGCAGGGGAGGGGCGGGGAGGTCGAGACCCCACTCTTTGCCTAGGGGACCACCGGACTGTCCTTAAGTCGAGAACCTGGTAGGAGCAGCGGGTTCCGGCGAGAGAAGGCCAGTTTGGGACCCAGGGGTCCTTGGATGGATCCGTGGGGCGGGGGGCAGGTGGACAGGAGGAGGAAATGAACTTCCCAGCCTCGAGGTGCTGCATCACAAGGTTAAGAAAACCAGGAGAAGAAATTAGCCGTGGGGTCCCGCCCCAACCAGGCCCTTGGTCTGCCCACCCATGCCCTGGGTCCTAAGTTACTGCCAGCCCCTCGGGGTGGAGGGTCGAGGGAATGGCCTGGGTGATTATTAATCTTGCGACCAGTTGTATGCTCAACAGCTAGGAGCAGAATCCTGAAGCCAGAGAGCCCTGGGTTCGACCCAGCTGCCACATCCTCTCTCGTGGGGCCACAGCCCCCGAATTGGACCCTCGGCCTTCACATCTGCAGAATGGGCCGAATATTACACCCCTCCTACTACAGCCACCGGGGGGCTCTGTGAAGTAATTCCTGGGAACCCCCCAGCCTCGCTTCTGGTACTTACTATGCCAGCAGCAACAACAGGAATCAGAATAATCAGCATTTATTGAGCACCTATGGTGTGCTAACACCCACCACAGGCCTATGAGATCAGTGCTGTCACTGTGCCCATTTTACAGATGAGGAAACTGAGGTCCAGAGGCGGGGGTGGGGGGCGGGTAACCTGTCCAGGGTCACACAGCCTGGAAATGGCAAAGCTGGGATTTGGACCCTTGGAGCCTGGCTCCGGAGCCAGGCTCCAGAATGGAATGGAAGGTTTGTTTGACCCCACTCCTAGGCATGCACCCACAGGAGTTGAAAGGAGGGTCTCAAAGACATGTTTGCCAACCCACCTGCACAGCAGCATCACTCGCGATAGCCAAGAGGTGGAAACAACACACGTTTCCGTCGACAGGTAGATGGATAAATAAAATGTGGTCCATCCACACGCTGGAATATGATCCAGCCTCAGGAAGGAAGGACGTCCTGCCGCCCGCCACCACGTGGATGGACCCGGAGGACACTGTGCGCGGTGACAGGAGCCGGACACAGAAGGACGCGTCCCGCGTGACCCCACGCACAGGGGGTCCTAGAGGCGTCCCGTCCACAGAGACAGAGAGTGGATGGCGGGAGCCAGGGCTGGGGCAGGGGCGGGGAGTCCGTGCTTCATGGGGACAGAGTCTCAGTCTGGGGAGATGGAAAGTTCTAGAGACGGAGGGTGGGGGTGGTTGCACGACAGCGTGAATGTGCTTAACTGACGTGTATACTGAAAAATGGTTAAGATGGTAAATTTAGGGGGCGCCTGGGTGGCTCAGTCGGTTAAGCGGCCGACTTCGGCTCAGGTCATGATCTCGCGGTCCGTGAGTTCGAGCCCCGCGTCGGGCTCTGTGCTGACAGCTCAGAGCCTGGAGCCTGCTTTGGATTCTTTGTCTCCCTCCCTCTCTGCCCCTCCCCTACTTGTGCTCTGTCTCTCTCTCTCTCAAAAATAAATTTAAAAATGTAAAAAAAGGTTTTTTAAGATGGTAAATTTATATTATATACATTTAATACAATGTCAAAAGAAAAATGTTCGGAAAAAAAAAAAAAGGACAGAACCCCTGAGAGGCCAGGGTGACCCAGGCAGGTGTCGGGGAGGAGGTCAGGGGTCCAGCAGCAGGAGGGTTCGCCGGGCAAGAGCAGGCCGGCGGCCGCACTGTGGGACTTGACTGCTCTGCGGTGGCCGTGGCCCGGGGCCTAGATCGGGGTCACTGGGAGCCATGGGTGGCTCCGGAGGAGGGGAGGGGCCAGGGAAGGAAGCTCTTAAGGAAGCAGAACCATGTTCCACGAACATGTGGGATCCGGGCGTCTGCTGAGTCACAAATCCCGGAAGCCCAGGGTCATGGAGAGGAAGCCACGCTGGTCCACGCAAGGCCTTCCTGTTTTTTGGCCCCAAATCCTCAGAGGCAGGGACTCCAGGGCCAAAGTTCCCACACCACCTTCACCTCCAGGGGTTCAGAAACCTGGGGCTCTGAGGCCAGGACACCGTGTGCCGATGTCCCTGCTGCTCAGATGGGGAAACTGAGGCACAGGGCTTGCCCGAGGCTTCCCGGAAGGACGAGGCTGCAGGTTTCTTACTCAGGACGTCCAGACTGCACCCCTGCGGGTAGGGGTGTGGCGGGCTGGGTTCCAGAGGGTGAGTTCTGCTCACTTCCATCAACCGATCGTTACGTGAGGGGAAGTCTCCACTCTACACACCGGGAAGGTTCTTCAAATTATCTTCAACGGGAGGGTGACGCCAGCTCCCTTAAGAGGTAGTGAGGTGCCTGTCACAGAGGTATTCCAGCAGAGGCCAGAAAGGCCGGACTTGGGAAGGAAGTCAGACTAACGGGGGGCCTCTGAGGTCCCAGGCCAGCTGGCATATTTTGCGATTCTAGTGTGGCAATTCCCAGATGGCGGTTTATAAACTTCCAAGAGACTTTGAGGGTCGGTGGTGGTGGTGGTGGTTTGAGCCTTTCATTTTACGAATGTTGTGTTTTAATTCGAAGGATTCTTGAATGTATGTTTTGAGGCTGAATTATTTAAATACGTGTCTTGAAGTGTTGCTGTCTGTCGTGACCATTCAGCGTTTTACAGTGATTGAAAACCCCCTTTGTTCAAAAGTTATTTAAACGTTGTCACTACGAAGTTGTTGGAAACCGTTTCCGGAGCTTTCACTGCGCTGTGGCCGGAAAGTTTTTCTGATAATTAGACTGAAGTGCGGCCATCACCGTTATTGCCGTGGTTGGGGGTGTTTTTTTGCCATTGTCCCCCCCCCCCATGGGGAATTTTTTGGCTGCTTGAAGGGCCAGGCCGCTGCGGCTCGTGTGCGCCATCTCTCGGCGGTGGGCGGGACTGCAGGTGGCGCCGCTCACCGCCAGGCCCTTCGCTCTCAGGTGTCGCTTCTCGTCACCCCGACCTCGCCATGCGGACCCCGCGAGCGCCCCCTCCTCGCCCGGCCCCACTGCTCCTACTGCTGCTACTGGGGGAAGCTAATGGCCTCTTCCCCGAGGAGCCGCCGCCGCTCAGCGTGGCCCCCAGGGACTGTGAGTGGGGGGGTCCCAGGGGAGGGGGAGTCGCGAGGGAGGGTCTTGCTTCCCAGCTGGGTCTGCGGCCCACTTTCCTCAGGGGCTCACCAGGCCAGGCTCATCCCGGCCCGGGATCACACCCCTCCCCAACCCCTCCCCCAGACCTGAACCACTACCCCGTGTTCGTGGGCGGCGGGCCAGGACGCCTGACCCCAGCAGAGGGTACTGACGACCTCAACATCCAGCGGGTCCTGCGGGTCAACAGGACGCTGTTCATCGGGGACAGGTATGAGGGATTGTCGGGCAGAGCGTGCAGGGTGAGGCGTGGGGAGCAGGTGATAGCATTTGGGGGAGGTTTGCATGATGGGGCAGGTCGTTGGCTGGAGTACAGATTTGTGCCCTTGGGGTGTGATTTTATAAAGGGTGCTGACTGAACTCTCTTGTGGGTACAGCCCGGTTTGCCCCCGGTGGGGACAGCTCTTTGGTCAAAACTCACTGGGTTTCTACAGAGGGTGCCGATGTGGGGCACGAGGGCTTCTCTGGGAGGGTGACATTTGAGTTGAGACCTGAGTGGGGTCCCCAGGCTTGGGGACATCTCGAGGGGGAGGGAGAAATCTGGGTAGAGAGCATAGTCTGTGCAAAGGCCCTGGGGCAGGATCCGGCCCAGTGTGTTGGAGGAACATTGAGGAGGCCCAACTGACTGGAGCAGAGTGAGCAAACTGGGAGAGGGTGAGGAGGGAAGGGCAGGGAGGGGACGGAGTGAGAAGGCAGCCCTGGAGGGCTGTGGGCAGAGGAAGGCAGGACCTGACCCAGGTGCCCACAGGCACCTTCTGGTGATGGCTGAGGGGAGGACGGACGGAGGGCAGGAGCAGGGGCACCAAGGCAAGGCTACTGCACTGGTTCAGGATAAACTAGGGTGGTGGCCGCGGAGGGCATGAGAAGTGGGTAAATTCTTGATAGACATTAAAGGCAGAGCACATAGTATTGGCTGATGTGTGTTGAGGGTGACTCCTAAGTTGTGGCCTTCGTCCCTGGAAGCAATGAGCAGCCTCAGCCAAGATGAGGGACAAGGCAGGAGCAGGTGTGGGGGACAGTCGGGTGCAGCGTGGCCAAGCTGAGTGTGAGACGCCCGGGAGCCCCCCGCACGGAGACTCCAGGATCAGCCGGACCCCGAGTCTGGAGCTCGAGGGGAGGCCCGAGCTGGAGACAGGGCTGTGGGCATGGTGGGGCTGAGACGCGGTTCCAGCGCTCAGAGTGGACGAGGCTGCCCTGGAGAAGAGGCCGGAGGACCCAGCCTGCGCACCCGGGAAGGGGTGGGAGACGGAGGGGACTGGAGAGATGGGAGGAAAGCCAGGTGCCTGAGGCGCTCCCAGCCGGAGGGGGGACGGGCCAGACACTGCGGGCTAGGGGGAGGAATAGAGACCATGTGACTGCTGGACTTCGCACGAGGTCGCCAGTGACCTTGACCAGGGCAGTTTCTGCGGCATGGGGGGGAGGGGAAGAGCCTGGGGGAGACTGAGAGGTGCCGAGAGGGCACCCGATGAAAGGGCTTTGGACAGTTCATCACGTTGGGTGTAGCCCCCTACGGCAGAGGGGCGTGTGAACGTGAGGTGGCCTATGTCAAGGTACGTGGGGCGTGCTGGAACCTGTGGGTCACTTTAGGGGACGAGGAGGCCTGTGGTGCCGGCGCAAGCACACGACGGCTCGTTCGGTGTTGCAGTTGCTTGGGGCTGAGGCTCTGGCACACCCCTGCGTGTTCGGTGTTGGATACGACTTCTGCCCCAGGGAGAACGGAGAGTGGGGGCAGGGGCTGGAGGCTCCCTTGCTCACCAACTATACCTTCCCCGCCCCCCCCCAGGGACAACCTGTACCGGGTGGAGCTGGAGCCCCCCACGACCACGGAGCTGCGGTACCAGCGGGTGAGGAGGGGACACAGATGGGAGAGGTGGGGGCGCACTTGAGGCTTCTGCTCGGGGGGTGGGGCCTGACACGGTGCTGGGGAGCAAGAATTGGGCGCGCCCCCGCGGGGGTTCCTAGGGCTGCGGGGATCCCTCACCACTCCCTGTGCCCTCAGAAACTGACCTGGCGCTCCAACCCCAGTGACATCAACGTGTGTCGGATGAAGGGCAAGCAGGAGGTGAGTGGACCCTGGCCACGCCCCCAGCCGCTCCCCGATCCCGCCCAGCCCGGGGCAAATCTTCCTCTGCCTACATCCCAGGCCAGCACCCTCTTGTGGCCACGGCTCCGCCCAGAGCCTGGCCACGCCCCCATAATGTCCTCAGTCCTGGTCACGCCCACATCCCCGCCCCGCCCTCCACGGCCCTAGATCTGCTCTGCCCCGCCCCGCCCCCTACGCTGGGCACGCCCACATCCCCGCCCCGCCCCCTCCCAGATCTGCTCTGCCCTGCCCCCGCCCCCTGCACTGGGCACGCCCACAGCCCGGCCCCGCCCCGCCC